AACTGGAGATCAAAACCAAGAGAAATTAAAATGAAATGAGGTGGATTTTTAAAATTAATAATAATAAAAAGATTATAAAAATTCAGATGTGTTAAACTGTAGACATACAATTGTTTAAAAAGTAAACATTAAAAAGGTAATAGAAAATAGAACAGATAACAAAAAAATTTTTTTAAAAAAGGGATGTGTTCTCCTGGAGACTGTGCACTCTTAACGATTTTATCAAGAAGTCCTTCTGTCTCCACCCTGTTTTGCGAACTCAGCTTGCTCTTTCCAGAGGCCCTCTGTTGGTGACCTCATCTATGCTGCTCCCAGTGCTTGTCGGCAAGCACATCGTGCCCTCTCCCAACACTGGGTCAGGTGCTGCACTCCTTCACGGTGGGCCAGTGGGTCACTCCCCCTCCCAAAGCTGCAATCAGATGCTGCACTCAGGCAAGGTAGGCGGGCGGATCATGCCCCCTCCCAGCACCATGTTCAGGTGTTGCACTCCTGCCAGGAAAGCTGATGGCCACCCAGCCTCTCCTGGCGCAGGTTGGTCTGTTGCTCTGTGCAGCTGCTTGCTCTGCCTCAGGTCAGCACTCCGTAGGCAGGCTCGCAGAAGACCACGGAACTGCCCTGCACCTACTCCATGCCCAAACTCAGCTCCTTGCCTTGGTGGCGCAAGTTCTCTGAGGTGCTGGGGCAGAAAGATCCTATCCGCCTTGAGCTGTAAACAAGTCTCAGTCCTGCCTAGGAGGTTGCGGAGTCCCCGGGTGCGGATTCAGGGCTCAGCCCCACCCCGACCAGGGTGCTGCACACAGGAGGATATGGTGGCTGTCGCTACCCCCTGCCTCTCTTCTCGCAAGAAGCGCCAGTAATGGCAGTGCAGGTCTGAGGAGACAAAGGCTACGGCACCCCTCCACCCAGGGCACACCAGCAGTCTTGCTTTGCTTCTTTTCCTCTTCATAATTTATGGGGGACCCAGGTGGTTCTGCTCTGTGTCCTCTCCCAGCCACAGCACACAGCACCCTGCCATCCCCCGGGGCTGCCTCAGTGCAGCCGCCCCAGTCCTCCGCCAGGCTCAGGCAGCCTGTCCTGTCCCCCAGATGCTGGCTCACGTCTCATGCTGGGTGTCGCAGGGACCCTCTGTGCCTGTTTAACTTAGTTCTGTCAGTCAAGGGCTGCTCTGTACAGATCCGAGCCTAGGAGGCTCCCTCTCCGTCCCTCTGGCCTCTCCATTGGAGAGGGGGAGATTCAGTGAATGAGCACTATTCCTCCTCTACCACTTCCTCCCCGTGAGACCAGTCCCTCACTGTTTTGTTCTTTGTTCTTTCTTTTTTCCTTTTCTCCTACCAGATTCATGGCATCTTTGTCTTTTGAAGAGGGCAGTGTTCTGTTGGAGGTCAGCAGGTGCTCTGGTTAGCTGGGTGGATCCATGAATGTGAGTTTTGGTGTATTTGGGGGAGAGGGTGAGCTACGAGCATCCTTCTACTCCGCCATCTTGGCCCCTCCTCTTCCAGTCTCCTTTTCAAACTGTGTTGGATATTTATGTTTTTTGGGGGTATCCATACAAATTTTAACATTTTTCTTTATTTTGGGGAGAGGAGGTAATTAGATTTATTTATTTTTAGAGGAGGTACTGGGGATTGAACCCAGGACCTTGTGCATGCTAAACATGTGCTCTACCACTTGAGCTATACCCTCCTCCCTAAATTTGAACATTTTTTATTCCAGCTCAGTGAAAAAACGTCATAGATAGGGATTGCATTAAATCTGTATATTGCCTTGGGTAGTATGGCCATTTTAACAATATTGATTCTTCCAGTCTATGAACATGTATATGTTTCCATTTATTTATGTCCTCTTCAGTTTCTTTAATCAGTGTCTGTAGTTTTTGGAACACAGTTCCTTTGCCTCCTTGGGTAGGTTTATTCCTAGGTATTTTATTCTTTTTGGTATGATGGTAAATAGTATTGCTTCCTTAATTTCTTTTTCTGCAATTTTGTTGTTAGTTTATAGAAATGCAACTGATTTCTGTATGTTAATTTTGTATACTGCAACTATACCAAATTTATTGATGAGCTCTAGTAGTTTTCTGGTCACTTCTTTAGGGTTTTCTATGTATAGTATCATGTCATCTGCAAACAGTGTCAGTTTTACTTTTTCTTTTCCAATCTGGATTTTTTTTCTTTTTCTTCTACGATTGCTACGGCTAGGAATTCCGAACTATGTTGAATAAAAGTGATGAGAGTGGGCATCCTTGTCTCATTCCTGATCTTAAAGGAAATGCTTTCAGCTTTT